AACACAGATGGTGTTGAGACCATGATCTTAATTGATTTAAGGGGCAAGTTTATATCTTTCAAGCAACATTTTAGAACAGCAAAAAGCAAATCCTTTACGTGACACTTAAGCATGCTGTATTATACTTGGTTTTAGAGTGCCCCAGATTAGCACCACATATAAATACTCAAGTGAGATACAAAGCATCTTGTGAAAATAGGGAATGCACACAATACAGTATCATAAATGAGGAATAGCTGATCATAATTTATTTCCTGGCACAAGAGTTACAGTAAAGGCAAGAGGTGATAAAAAATTGTGTACAGCTGCTCTCGAAAGAAACACAACACCCATTTCTCTATCCACTCAAAATACTATACGATCTAAAAGATTTTGGGAGAAAAATCTGTTGAGAGGACATCAAAATATGGTGTTAGTGGACACCCCTAGGAAAGTGATGATTGCAAGCTTATACAGCTGGTTTTGTACATTTTAAATGTGCATGTTGATGTAAGTGAAGCATCTTCATTGCTTAAAAAGAAAAAAGAACTACTATAGGGTGTCATTTGTACCTGGTCATTTCTCAAAGGCCAGAGTCACACCAATCACAGGCTTTTCCTCACTGAGTTTGTTCCTTGGGGCTTGCTACATGTACTTTGATTAGAGAGTTTTTAATTACACTTTAGCCTGTTAGCACCATGGGGCCAATAAAACTAAGAGAAATAGAACTAAATTCTTTTCATTCAACACAACTGTTAACTAAATACCAATTAATTACACCCACACAAGCCTAATGAAGATAATGGGGTTGCAGAGGGTCCACCGATGGTATGAAGTGGCTTGCAGTATCCTAACCTTAATCAGTTAACTACTTCATAATAGGTAGGATCATAGGATAAGCCATCCTCTTTCTACATGCTTACAATTACTATTACTGTTAATGGAAATTACATGGCCATACAGATAATTCATGTAACGTTCACTTGATCATGAACCAAAAATGATAAATACTTGAGGGGAATCCTTACTAGTATTTCAAATGGTTTATTAAAAAAAATGTGCAAGGTTATTAAATAAACTGAGTATCAATCTGCTTCAGCTTATTGCTTTCCTAAAGGCAAAGCTGACAAGTTTCATTTCCCAGACGGTTGATCAATACCCATTGAACAATACATGAAGCTGTTTCTCCACAATGCATTTTATTTAGAGCCCTTTAAAAGGCAGAGGGTGGGAAACTGATCTAGAGGCACTTGAAATGTATCAGAAGGTACAGCTCTTGCATCAGGTTGTATTATCTAGCATATGATGATGCCCTCAGAGCACCACACCAGCACCGTTACCTCCAGAAGTCTGTTCTTCCAGGAATAATTAAACCAGAGCTTTCTGGGCTAAGCACGTGCACGTGACACAGATCTGGGACTACTCCACTACTACCACCTGGCCCACCAACCGCGCAAGCCCCTCCTGAGCAGTAACGTACCCAAAGGAGCAGCAGCCCACTGCACTAACCTGTTCTGAACAAGGAAAATCTAACGAGGTATTCGCTGCCCGCTCTCCTCAAGTAACAGGTAGTGTCAGTTTTGAAACTTCTTCCGAGGAAACGGCTTAAAAAAAGAGGGTTTAACTCTCTGGAGAGGTACCATACTATTTCTGAAGGACGTGAAAGGAAAAGAAAATGATTCAGTAGGGATTTTTCTTCATTATCACCCAACCTAGAGAAGTGAACATACAATGAGCAAAGGTCTACACATATTGATTTTAGAGCTGAGGAAGTGTGCAGCTAACAGCTTTTTAAGTATCTCCATTTTCAGTTACTTCAACAAAATTACCAATGAACAGTGTAACAAAGTGAAAGTTTTTGTAGGAAATTGCAGACTAAAAATGATCATTTAGGTTGTGAAATGTTTCTTTTCATTGAAAGTAAAGGGCTTTTAAACGCAGCAGTAGAGTTACTGGGGCATTTTGCAGCGTTAGCCTCACTAGACATTTCACAAACCATAATCTGTCTCTCTTTCAGGACGATAATCTTACACAATTTTGTTGTTCAGAGACTTTTAAAACTAAAGGGTACCTGCCCGCGGCATTCTGACTTGGAAGACCATAACCAGCCTCTGAGGGAAGCGCAAACACCGCACGCATTAAGAAAACCAAACCACGCCAAACCACCCCCCAGATCTCCAACCAAGCCCGGCCCAGCAACGCAGCAGGGGCAGGATGCTCATTAGCGGCTCCGTGGGAAGAAAGCGCCGTTTACTGAGGGGCCCACAGGCCGGGCCGGGGCGGTGACTCCCTGAGGGAACAGCTCTCCCGCCCAGAGTACCGGCGGGGGGGGGCGC